GTTAAAAAAGCGCGGCTACATTTATTAACTGTAATTTTCTCTTCAGAAATGACAACGTTAATAAAGTCAATCAGTTATAGCAATAGTCAATCAGTTATAGTTTCTCTTCCAGTCCGAAACTGTTTATCGTGAATCATACTCACGGAGTGTTATTAGGTACGTGACTATGTCTAATTGGCATTACAGTGTTCGACATTTTGAAAAACTCAATAATTTTTAACTGCGAAAATACGAGCACCAGTAACATTACCATTCAGTATAAGTTTTTGATCGGTAAACATGCAGCTTATAGTGGTGTCGTTATAAATGATTTTTTATGTACATTTAACTCCGCGATCAGTTTAGTTGTTATGGACTATGTTATTTCAGTTACCTTAATCAGCGATATTGCGTACTGTATTTCTCATCCAGGTCAGTCAGACGATATGCAGACGATTAACGCCTAAATTGAAAACTAATGTTTCATCACGTAAATTAATAACAGCAGAAATAAGCGGGCTTATCACAGAGAACATTTTATTTAAATTACCCGAAACAGATCACGTTATGTAAGCTGGTAAGCAGAACAAAAATACGAAAATGGTACTGCCGCTCTCGAGTAGTACAACATAAATCATGTAAATACATTACATAGTCATTCCTGAATAGTCTAAAACGGAGAATGGTACTAGTGCAATGGTACTAAAAAAAATTAATTTTGACTAAATATGCGTATAATTTTGCATACTGTTTTGTACAGCATTGTACGTGTACGGTGTACTCTATAGTGCAATGTTGTGTACGGCTATCCAAAAAATGAATTGGAAAATTAGTTTGATGAACTAATAAATCTGTTCCAACTTTTATTTTACCGGTTGTTTCCATAACAGCAAGCCAGTTATGTTTCGGGTTTGAATAATGATAGAAGTATTTATCTAAATCATTGTCGGGGGTACAATTTAAACCACCAATTTTCCACATGCGCACTGCTGCGCATTACAGTGCATATGCATAAATGTGTTAGCTGCCAGCATACGATGATTAACTGCTTATGTTGAATATGTTCACAACTTCACATCTATCATTTAATTCGATTGCGACGCATATTACAGCGACGTGCCTTCAGAAAGTGCAGCGGTTGTACTTTTAACGCGTCTGGTAATTCTTTTTTATTACGGTAATTTGCGCAAACGGCAAGATGCAAAGTGACCTTTTGAAATTTTGTATGCCGGCGCTTGTTTAGGCACTTCGTTCATGGCCAGTGCTGTTTCTTTACAAATAAACTGCCTGTACTCAGGGCACTGGCAAAACTGCAGAACTCTACAGTTGACCAAGCGCTCCGACGTTCGCCCGCTTATTAAATGTGCCACATTTTATGTGGCATCTGCCAGGTTTTATCGTTTGCCAGTTGCCAGAGCCTCCAGGTTTTATCGCTTGCCATGCCATTGGCAGTGCCACTGGCAGGTGCCAACGCCACGTTTTACCCCCTGCCAAAAATAATACTACAGCAGAAATCACGAAAAATCGGTTTTGATAGCCAACAAATAACTATAAATTAACAATTCCAACAACAAATGCATATACATATTTTGTAAGTAACGCTACGGTATTATTCTAAACAAAATTCGCTCAACCGTAAAACGGCAGCTCTGAGCGAACAGGCAAACTCGGCCCTAGCAGTAACGATCACAGATTCATGAGTTCCACAATATGGACACTAAGCAAAGGCACCAAGCGGTATAAACTACATATAAGTAATTTAATTATGATAATCTTAAACCTTGATGTGGCAAAAAAAGCAATCTACTCTGTAAGTTAGATTCTACAACAGTAACGTTCCCTTTCGTGGCCGGTGAATCGCGGCAATGGTTATTCGGTAAACTGACCTCGATACTCGGTATTGGAAAACGGTTATGACGGCTTACTTTGCCAGTCCAAGAACTGTAAAACTCTAAACCTCTTGTTTGCTTCTAAAGGTAACTACCACGCTTGTTTTAATTTTACCATCTCAAAAAGCGAACAGTAACTGCGCTAACAAATATCGGGCGCGATCTCTCGTATTTACTTCGAATAACTGTGACCAGGCGTGTGGTATACGCCATGGCAACGGATTGTTGTTGTTGTTTTGTAGTGACTAATAGATCAGTCAGTCATGCGGCGCGCTGGCAAGAAGTGGTATTATACAAGCCCAGCACGGATGAATATTGGCCGATGACTATTAAAAAATAAGTAATTCCAAGGATGCGTTGCTTTGCGGTCGCTTACAGACTGTCATAATACGAGTAATAATAAACCCGTACGTGTGTTTAGTAATGATACACTTTACATAAGTTAATCGAAGCACGGACTGTTTACTTGTACACTGTTTACTTGTACATACAGTACATAATTTGCAATGATGACTAACGTGATTATGACTAACGTGTTAAGTTACATGAATTTTTTACTTTGTAATGTACTCGTACTTATCGTTAAGTAGCAGCTCAGATATTTCTCCTGTTCTGGGTCAAGTTGTGTTAGAACAGTGTGCATTTCTTATCGCGTCCATGGTAACAAGCTTATGATTGACCACTGGACCTAGACAAATGATTTTGGCAATAAGTCAACAATCTTGGATCCACCGCTACAGCTAGAGAATTTTGATGTACTTTAAAGCAACAAAATTGGTGAAGTAGAAGCCGAGATCCTTTGCCTCAAAGGACAGGGGCTGAAGTCCTGGCACAGATAATCAGTATTCATATAACTATTAAATACTTCACAAACGCTTTAAAGAAAATCAGAAAACCTATGCTTATTGAAATCAGAACTGCGTTTCTTTGCATATCGTAAAACAGAATCGATCATAGTTGTAAAAATTAGCAAATACAGAAATGCGATTCAGAAATTTGAACCCTCGCGATTCAACGGTAATAAAAGCGGAAATGTGGGCCACGGTCAAAAAGAGGGAGGGAAAATTAAAGGGAGGGATTTTCTTTGGTCAAAAAGAGGGAGGGAAAACTAAAGGAAGGGATTTTGAGTGGTCAAAAAGAGGGAGGGAATTTCTATGGTAAGAAAAGGAAGGGAATTTGGGCGATACTAAAATTTGAAAAATTACAGAGCGAGCAAAATTTGAGCAAAACAAACTTTTCAAGTACTACCTCCGGATGCTGTTACTGCGTAATATTGTCAAATACTTTGTATTATAGTGGTAGTCTTAATTAATGGTAGTGGCAGTCTATAATTAATTCGGCATATAAAACGTGAAAAACATATATAACGTAGATACAGAATGTATTCAAAAAAATAATATAAATACCAGATTTTGGTTCGAAAGTTATCTGAATGCTTAAAAGTTGATTTAAAAACAAATTTTTAGGAAGTAAAACCTTCAAATTAAAATATTTTTACCTAACCTGCAATTTCACTTTGATTCCTACATTTTATACCGGCAGACAAAATTTGATGGACATCCTTTTTTCTGAATTACGAAATATTTTAAAAAATCAAAGTCACTTAAAAAAAATCAAAGTCACTTAAAAAAATCATGTTCAAGTGGTTTTTTGAAAACTAATTCAATGACCCATAAATATCGGCTACGATTCTTGACTCGTGTGCGACGATCTCCTACGCAGCCCTTACTCAATATTGCGGTTTTTAACTTTGAGTAGACTGTTTAAAAATTGAGGGATGTCAGGATACTTCAGTTCAACTTAGCACATCAAACTGCATATATACAGTGGAAACATTGGTGCCGACCTCGGGTACCCAGGTTCGAGGTCACCTGGTGTATCAGTTTGTAACGCCGCGCTCACGTTTATGCATATAGAATTCTGTGACTTTTACAGAGTTTAAACTCTTACAGAGTCTAACTCACCATGTTTAGTTACATATGAATCACAAAAAAAATCGTCGGCGACCCAAAGGTCACGCAGCGACCCAAAGGTCAGGGGTACTCTCCGATTCAGAGACCGAGAGACTCAAATGTCATCAATTAGAAGCGCGGGCTCGTTTTGCTCGTCAGCTTGTTAAAGAAAAGCCCACTTCGTTCGGGTGCTTGGTTGCAAAATGAGCTAAATGTAGTTTGTGAGTTAGTACTTACTTTTGAACATAAAAACGTTTCATAATTAAAGCATCCAAAACCAAATTTGCGGAGAAGATCTGACATAACTTTTTTTGTAAAGTGGAAGACTGCCACTATAATATTTGAAGCTATTACGCAGTAACAGCATCCGGAGGTAGTACTTGAAAAGTTTGTTTTGCTCAAATTTTGCTCGCTCTGTAATTTTTCAAATTTTAGTATCGCTCAAATTCCCTTCCTTTTCTTACCATAGAAATTTACTCCCTCTTTTTGACCACTCAAAATCCGTTCCTTTAGTTTTCCGTCCCTCTTTTTGACCAAAGAAAATCCCTCCCTTTAATTTCCCCTCCCTCTTTTTGACCCTGGCCGAAATGGGGGCGATTACTTTGACGGGTGTTGGAATCAGCCGCCCGTGCTTACGGCTTCGCGTTCATTTTATTCAGTGTATATTAGTACGAGTACATCATGCACAGTGTGTGACGGATGCACTGCCCAAAAACGGGACGGCGGCCTTCCTGAATCGAGACTCGAGATCATGAGCATAAATTAACTGTCCACTTCAGGGAAGTTGCCCGGTACATGGTGCCAAATTCACGTACATGCACGAAACTTTCACTTTCGCACACTCCCAAACACATTTCCGCTTTGTTTTATGACATTCTGTAGTTAGATAACTTGTACACATTGGCGTGAAAACCGTTGTGCGCGCAACATCCGGTTCGGGAGTTGCGGCTGTAAAAAAATCCCAAAAATTTCATATGCATTGAGGTGTACCAAATTCTGGTACTGTCCCTCGTGAAAATGTATAAGTTTTTTTGTAACAATCTTTGAACAGCGGCTATACCTTTCTGTGCCGTAAAAGTTAGTGTAGAACTTATAATTCCCAACTTAATTTGGCAGTCGTTTTTAGAAGTTTTATTGTACAGCATTCAGAACTTTTGCTTTATCGTTTTCAGAAGCTTTATTGCAACTTTTGCCGCACATCACTCGTAATTTTGCACATACTTCAGTTCAACGCACAAAAAACACGACACTGAAATAACAGAAAAAAACAACACAAATAAACATCAAATTATCGTCTGAGGTGTTGCAATTGCTGTTTTAAAAATTTAGACTGAAAGAATATATTGCTACAGCCAAAATCAAACCACAAAAAGCCAGCTTCGGTTCCGGAGTCGACTCCAGTCCATCAAATGGAGAATGAAATCCGTTATCATTTCCTGATGAACGGGAAAACATTTAACACAATTTAATAATTTTAATCTGCACCTACACAAGTTCAATTACTTAACAACTAACTCCACACCAATTTACTCAATTAACTCAACGTCTAAATCCAGCTTGTGGAGCTCACCTTTGTTTAGACTGGCAATGTGCTTCGCACCTCCATCCAAAGGAGCAGTGTGCGCTCGTGTGCGTTTGCAACAAAGGTGCCAGTAATTCATGCCAAACGAAGGGGAAGGGAGATCGTTCCATGGAGTCGACTCCAAAAATAACCGAAGAACCTGTGACAAAATACAATAAAATTAGCTTGACTAACTTAAAGACTGACAAGCAGCACCGTCACTTTTTAAAACTGTAACGTGTGAAGAGATTTTCATAAGGATGTGAGCACATTAAAGAGTCGACTCCGTCCAGCGTAAAATAAAGGTAAAAATTCCAAATCGTTCCCTGTCAGATACTTTCCGAATTTTAATTTTTTTTTCACACTTACTAGAACGAAGTCAACTCCAAAATCGTATGGCTGCGTTTCATATAACGTTTTTAAACCGGTTATCATACCTGTTATAACAGAATGATTGAGAATCACGGCAATTTCGTCCAACAACCCAGCTGCAGGCTCCTCGTTCAGCAGAGATGCTCTCAACGGCGATACTGCTCGTGGACCCGTGAAGAAACCATCTTAACCTGGCACTGCTTCCTGACTCAATGTTTCAAAATTCCATACAGAAAACTACAATCATGTCTGGTTTCAGACCTGATCATTTTCTACTCAACCCTCAACATCAAAGCAAAGTGTAATAAAACTAAAATTAAAAACAAACTGAGTCCTACAAGAGTGTGTTGAAACTTGAATTTCAACGGCTCGGCTGCGTTATTAGCGAGCTGAGCTATGTTTACGTGCTCGACCGTGCGCCCTTATCGCGGCCGCCACCTCGTGGGGTAACATGTAACTTTCACATGCATATTTGCTTTTGTAAGGTTACACTTTTATACTTTCACAAAAATGTTTTCCTATGTTTGTAATTTGTTGTTGTAAAATTTTACTGCAGTACGGTGTCTTATTTATTTACTAGTTTACTAATAATTAAAAGCCATATTGGTTAATTTTGTTTTACGACGCCACCGAATTTCTTAATTTATTGTTTATTCTCTGTGTGAACCAGAGAAATATAAATTGAAGTGGAATATGTATACATGTGCAATAACTAATAAAAAATATTTTAAAACTACATAGCATAAAATCTTTTTGTGCATTTGCGCTATATAAAACAGCAATGCAGTTATGCAGTGATGCAACTTGCGTCCACTGGTGGCTGCTTATTACTGCTTAAGATTACCTCGTATCTGTACAAAAAAGAATTTACAGACAGTGCGTCAGTGCTGTAGTACGAGTAACGGAGTAAGTAACTTTTGAGCAACTTGATGTATTCCGTAAGTTATATGAAAGGTCCCAGTTATAATCGGCTGTCATGAAAACTTTTTTGTAAGTTTAGCGTAACTTTACAAGTACCTCTTTTGGTGACTGGATGTTTCTCTTAACTTTTATTTTCACGAGGGTGTACACGTGCTGAAACATTTGTTTTCGGGCATTACAAAACACTTTTTTGCAATGTTTTATGCTGCCGATTGCGGGGGTCGCCTTCTGGACGGTAATAAGTTCTGCAAACCCCGTCCATGCCGAATACCCGTATGTGGTAGTCGCGCGGTCCGCTTCAACGTGAGGTGGTCGGGAGCGGCGCCGGTCCCTCCGTGGGGGCTACCGGCGTAATCGGAAGTGGCTGAGGTTCCGGGATCGGGCAAGTCGGCGCCTGAACCGTAGGTTCAGGGTGCGCCGTCGGAGGTGGAAAGTACGGTGGTACTATTCCTGGTTCTCCGTATCCTCCATATCCGCCGTATGGCGGTGGATATCCATAAGGTCCGGCTGGTAAACCCATGGAGACGGGTAGCACCACTGATTCTGCCAGCGTTATTCTGACGAGTCCCGCTGTTTTGAAGGTCCAGGCGCAGGGTACGGTGGATATCCGTAGCGAGGTGGGTAATATGGCGGTGGCTCGTAGCGGGGCCGAGGTCCGTCTGGACCGGCGATGTCTGGACCGTAGGTCCGACAGCTACAGTAATCGGAACCGGCCGTTCGTAAAGATATGGTCGAGTGGTTGGCGGGGTGTACGGCGTATGGTCGCCAGTATTGGCATGATTTGTCAAATGATTTGTATACATCAGCTTGAAAATCGCTTATGCGCGCAGTATTCGGTTTGAGAGTCTTCGGTAAAATAAAATCCCAAAGGGTTAAACGCACAGAAGTGTACAGAAGGTCTCATTATAAACCAACCCACTTAAAATTATTAATGAAAACGCACATTACCATGAATATCTTGCTTACACCGAACCAGCATTTTACCATTCTTTCAAACTTTAAATTAATTTTTGGAATTTTTGGAATTCGGTTTAAAATTCCGAAAGGGTGGCAGGAAGCTGGTTTGGTGTGAAACCAATCTTCATGTCTTTATGGTTATGTGCGTTAAATTTATAAAAAAAACAGTGCATGTAATACGGTTTTAGATCAGTCTCCATACATACTTCATGCAAAATTTTGAGATGCGGCTAGATCCAAAATTTGGAGATGATTTATCCGAAATGATACTCTTGGCATACCTGAGTGCGCTTCAACATTTAGAAGCCTCTTACAACTGCAACTCCCCACCGGATGTTGCGCATGCGCGCACAAACGGTTCGCACGCCTTATGCAAATCATTTAGTAAAGCAATGTCGGCAAACAATGCAAAAGCGATTTTGAAAGTGCGCGAGAGTGAAAGAATTCGTGCAGGTACGCAAATCTTTTACCACTTTCCTAATATTTTTAGAATACTGATAATTCCCTTGAATTTGGTAAAAAATTAAATAGTAATATAGGAAAAAGAAGCATCGTTCGTTATTGATGGCGAGGCGACTATTAATTAGCAGAATGCGGACCGCCGGGACCGGTTAACAATGCTGAGCTGCGGCGCGGCCGGAACCTGCGGAACAGCAAGGAAACTTGCTGAAAAGATTCTATAATCGTGCACCTAATGTTATTAGCATAATTTTTAGAAGTAATGCCATAAAAACCTCTTCCGAAGCCAAAAAAATTGGACTTTAAAAGCTAAGCCGTATTCGCATAGATTCCACGCGTAGAGTATGGCATATTCCAAGACAAATGCTTTTGAAGTTTTATCTTTACTGACAATGAGCCGTACTCTGGGTGGCTCATGGATAAATACTTAACGTATGTGAACTGGTGAAGTGTATTAAAGTAATATAGTATGTGAAGTGTAAGCATATGTACGATTATAATACTCGTATTATTACATACTTCGCATGGGGCCTTAAGTTTTCCCCTCATATAGTACAGGAAATTTCGTTTTCCCCCGCACATGTGCCGCTTAGTCGCTTACATGAATGCAGCTTAAAGCTGGCTGCAGCTAAAAACCGGTTTCTGGCCAACTCGGCATATCCGGTTGCGCAACTGAACAAGAGAGCAGACAGCTCGGATAACGGCAAACGTGTTACCGCGGCGCACGCGGCTTTAAACTGCAGTCAGTTTGAAGCGTGTAAGCGCCTAAGCGGCACATGTGCGGGGAAAACAAAATTTCCCGTGCTGTATGAGGGGAAAACTTAAGGCCCCATGCGAAGTACTTGTGCTGATGTTCCGAGATTTAAGCCTTAAGATGGTGCGGCATAATTGGTGTTAATGAACCGCTCGCTTGTTCTATCAGCTCGAAAGAATGTACAGATAGTGCTATCCTAGTTAATTTATAAATTATATAAATCAGCTCGAAAGAATGTACAGATAGTGCTATCCTAGTTAATTTATAAATTATATAAATCATTTACTAGCTGATTGTTAGTTCTACTGCCGGTTAATTCAACGCGAGGATGTGCACTCGACAAAGTTTGCCGAAGAGCAAACATATGAACTGTACCTTTTTGCGTGCAACTTGTCGGCTACCAAAGGCCATGCCATCGCAATAATGGGTGCTGCCATCAAATGATTAAAATTCCAAGTACGAAAAAAAATTTTCCACTTATGCTGTAGTACATGCCATTTTACATGGAGGACCGTTACAGTGGTAATGTTCGCTTCGTTTTTCTAACAGAAGACGCTCGAGAGCTTTACTATACAATCAAAAAAGCCGCGCAGAAGATGACCCATCATAAGGGTAAGGGATGGCTATAAAAAACCAGGGTGAAAAGAAATGGCTACAGTGATTTACAAAATTGTAATGCCCTATGAAAAACATGAAAGTTTTGCATACTCCCGCCGTCTATGCGCATCCACCCGCCGGCGGCACCGCGTCAGTTTAAACACTTTAATTTAAAGTTTGCCAACCGCAAACTTTACGTGCTAGTCGTGCTGGCTTTTTTTGCCATCATGTAAAGAGATTGTTTTCTCTAAAAAAAGGCGCGTTGTGACGTAGAGTTGTTTCAGGCATCGCGCGTAACATAAGTGCACGGGCGATTTCGCTTCTGCTATGCAAAAATCAAGTGCAAAGCTGGACCACTGTCTGGGTTAATGGGATTTCACTGAAGATTTTACATTAAGCTGAAAATGTGGAATGAAGGAAATATGGGATTTCCGAAGCTTAGGACAATTACAACCGCCCGGTGGGATAGCGTGTTGTGGTTTTTATCTACTAGTGTTTCAAAATTCAGTTTTCATTCTTTCCTTTTTCTGATTTTCGTTACGAAAAGTGGCTTTTCCTGCAGTTCTTCTGTTTTCTTATGTTAAGCTAAGGAAACCTAAGAAAAATCAAGAATAAATCATAATGAGAGATTTTGTGTTGCCAATGTGTTGCAAATGTTTGGAAGCAAACTGATGCCAAATCGACCAACCGTCGCAAACAAATAAGTAAGTATTCAATGATAATCGAACGCGAAATGGGGCGACCGTTAAAAAATTAAGGTTCGTCGAGAATGGATTAGATGGGTTCATTCGATCGAAAATTCCAAAAGGTTCCTAGCTTTTGCGCTTTTGCGTGCGCAACATCTGCTTAGAAAGTTATGGAGAATTAAAATTCCAAAAAGTTAACTATATGTAAACCGATCTTCTACAAATTTAGCAGGTAAATGCAAATTTATACAAGGAGCGTTTTCACGCAAACCAAAGTTGCATCATTTTTTTCAGTTTTAAATGAGTACTTTCAAACATTTTCAAAATTATTTTCAGAATTTGGGGAAAAATGGTGCATCTCTGGTTCGATGTAAAAACGATCCTCAAGTGCATGTGAGTTTACATGCAGAATTTGAAGAAAAGCCGTTTATAACGGCACTTTAGGTGCACCTGAATCACTGAATGCATTTAAACTTTTTTGAATTTTGTTTCTACCATAACTTTCCCAACCAAACGCTGCGTGCGCAACGGATTTCACGCATTCGTATTCAAATATTTTCGCAATAAAATATTATAAAACAATCAGATATGCAAAATGTTTCGGGGAGAGCGCGCCAGCAAACGTATGCGTACACGAATTTGGTGCCATGCACCGGGCCAAATCTCTTACGTTTTCTCGACTCTCGGAAGCCATGCATTAATGAAACGAATTAAAATACCCGCTAAAGAGCAGTTTAAGGCACATTTCCAAGAAAGTTGTTCGTTTTTTGCTAGCTGTTTAAACAAATTTCGATGCAAAAAAACACGGCAGAAGAATATTTCGAGAATTATTTTACCAAAATATCTGTAATTCGTTGTGGCTCCCCGCAAAAATTACTTTTGTTTTGCTTCTACAAAATATTTACTAAGATGCAAAGCCCTTACCCCAATCCCATGGAGGCGTCAGACTACCCCGAATTATTCAGTTTTCACTACTTTAACCCCAAAATGAGAACGAATACGGGGTTATGTAATGCAATATTATATACTGGCTACATGTAACATGAAATGCCGAATGCCGAATGATAATGCAACAGCTTGACCTTGATTTTGTCGAAAATTATGCGTTGCTATTACTTAACTGAAGAAAATCTTGGTTTGAAAAAAGTATTTTAACTGGTACGTACCGTTGTGAAGCGAAGCACGTAACGGCGCTCTGATCGTATAATTTTATCCGTCACAACAAACTTTTGGGCTCTTTTTTTGCCATTAAAACATAGGTGAACAAAAGAATTCTCATCCTGCAAATCCGATGCATTGTGAACTTAATTGCGATTAATTTCAGAGAAAATAATGTGCAGATGCGCTGGATGTTGCCAATATATATGGGGAGATCAGTTGCCTGTTGCACACTATGGCTTCTCAGTGATGTCCCGTTTACAATTTTTCATGTTCCGACCGCACTTTCCCGATCAAAAACTTTCCCGCACCCGCTCCCGCACCCGAGCGTTCGGACAGTCCCGCACCACGCTCCGACTCCCGATTTTCAATAAAATAATTTTTTAACAATGTTATTGTTACTGCCTTTTTTGTTAAAATGTTTCAAGTATGCCATACGTTTGGAAAATTACTATTTTTTCAACCTGCATCGTAAATCTTACTTTTAAGAAATTTCACCCTTAGCTTGAAGCCTTAGTGTCGCCGTACAATTTATTATCACCGTCAACTATTCAACTTTCTCTTACCACCGACATTTAAATCACCATCTAACCGCCGTTTATTAATACTACAAAACAGTAATCTCTCGAAATGCTGATCCGAAGTTTTTAATCTCCTGTTACTGAGCAAAATTCCCGCAACACTAAACATCCGTTCGACGTCAGCGGTCGTTGCTGGAGCGCATTAAACTTGTTTGGCAAGAATTTTCAAACGTGGCCTTGCTTTAAAGCTTTGCTTTTCAAACGTAGCCTTTTCAACCCAGCCTTGCTTTAGAGCAATAAAAGAACAATCTTCAGATCCTTTGAAATCTTGGGAGTTAAAATTAACTAACTCTAAACTCCCGATAACACGTTTGATCTCCACTTTACAGTCTACAGTCTCTGGCCAAAAAGTTAAAAACAGGTGGCAGTAAAATTGAATTTTCGTTAATTCCAGTGCCAAGGCACGAGACAAATCGCGATACTGGAAGTGTGAAAGTTACGGTACTGAAAGTGTATTGCAGTCTGCACTCTGCAGGCCGTCAGCCAGCGGCAATGGGATTACAACAGCTACTAGAATGCGGAGCAGTGGAATTAGTTACAGCAAGTTACTGCTACATGCTACGGTGGCTTGCTTACACGATAATTTTATAATTTCTAATTTGCAAATAATTTAATTTTTCATCATTCAAATAAATCCCGAGTTTTTCCGAGCAGCGGGCGGGCGTACTTATCAAGCTTTAATCCCGACCGCACCCGATCCGAGCAGAAAGTCTCCCGCACCGCTTTCCGAGCAAAAGCGGGTGCGGGGTGCGGGAAATTCCCGTGATTTACCGAGCCCGTGAAAAAAACGGGACATCACTGCGGCGGCGGTTCTCACGTCATAGGTGAACAGGGGTTGCACACTGATGCAAGTATTGGTTATTACTTTTTATTGTTTTAGTTATCGTCCAGCTGATTAAACATCACATTCAAAGATATTACAAAACAAAGTAAACAGCATTAAGCCCGTCAGAGCGAGGAACAGTTGACGTCACAGATAGCGCATTTCCACGCTGAATTTCGATGCTTAGACGTTGCAGCAAGAACTCATAAGATCGTCGTTCTCCGGTCGCATCCTTCAGTCTCCCACCCAATTCACTTAAAAACTTCTTACAGGATGGGCTGGCGACACCGAAAGTCTCAAAAGCTAAAGCAACAAACCAGAATTCAGTTGCCAGATACTCGTATTTCCGGAACTTTTCTTCTTCTGCTTTCCTAGCTGCTTCTCCGGCTTTGATACTGCTGCTGATGACGTTGGACAAGGCAACTGTGTCAACGCACGTTACATCCCATGCCAGCCGTAGTCCGTTTTTCCAAGGCAACTGTGATACACCATCTGGTCGGCGATCATCTACATCGTTCGTCCCCCTCGGCTCCAGTACAGCAGGTAAATTAGCAGTAACGAGGCAAGTATTGCCGTTGCTCTACTCTAGGTGTACGAATGGAACGAATGAACGTAATCCTCGTCAAGAGAGGAATGTTTATTCATTCCTCTCTTCTAGAGCACTGACAATCTCCAAGTACAGATCCAATATTATATGTACCGTACCCACTATCCGGCGTACTGTACATGTACCGTGTAGTAATAATCAACAAGTGCTATGTAATCACAACGTAGTTAGAAATGCTTAATTATTGTTAGCTGATTTTAGATTTTTGATTAATACCGGTGCGAAAGTTTAAATGAGATGTTTTATATTAAGTTTTGTGGTGTTGCGGAGTAGGATACGTAGAAAAGGGCAGGACATCTGTATGAAAAATTTTCATCAGTTAAGTACCATTTCACTGTGTAGGATTGTATCAATGTCAAGGTTTTATATCATATTTCTACTGCATACACTCCAAATTTTTTCCCGCATGTAACATAAAGCATTCCATCGCCTCTCCCTGCCAACAGGAGATGGCAACGGCCGGCTTAAACGGCTGACCTTCCGGCTGAAGTTCTTAGCCGGCTTACTCAACGGGACTGGAAGTCTCGCTGTCTCAGCAATGATCTAAAATACAATAATCAAATTAAATGTTAAAACAAAATAATTTTATATAACAAATTCTAGCGACAGTCGGTTCTCACCTTTCAGCGCACGAGACGTTTTGAAGCAAAGGCAAAACACATTTCCTGAACTGCTTTCGAGAATTGTAAAGTCGCAAAGAAAATCGAAAATTACAAAAATACTTTTTGCAGTTTAACTTTACTAACACATCGGGTACAGCCACATCCCGCGTAACTGCAAACACCATTAGATGTTTCGAATTTGTGTAAAATGCGTCTTTTCGGAAACAATCATTCTAAATGATCAAAATTCAGAAATAGTCAGCTCAGTCCAGACCAGTGTTTAGGGATCACTGATCAGGGCTGATGAGTGAACGTAAGTTGCAGGACCTGTTATTACTACCATTGTTCGGTGCTTACAACTAAGGAAGTTGCCGGTACATCGTACAAAATTCGTGTGCGTGCACGAAAACTTTCACTTTCGCGCACTCCCAAAAAATTCTTTGTTTGTTTTATGACAATCTGTAGCCAGATGATTTGTACACCTAAGCGTGAAAACCGTTTGCGGCCTAACATCCGCTTCGGGAGCAATGGCTGAAAGAAAATTCCAAAAGTTTAAATGCATTCAAGTGTACCAAAAGTCTCATTATGGACCGGTCTTTAAATTTTGCACATAGAAGCACGTAAGTATGAAGATCGTTTTTACACCGCACCAACGTTACAACATTTGTTCAAATTTAAAATGAATTTAAAAAATTAAAATTAATTTGAAAATTTGAAAAAAATGCTAGAACCGTGGTTAGGTGTAATAATGATCTTCATGAATATGTGGGTTTCATGAAAAATTTGGCGAAGATCGGTTGACAACCAGACTTTTGGTGCCCAGCATGCATTTAAACTTTTCAAAATTTGCTTACCGCCTTAACTCTCGAACCGGGAGTTGCGCCCACAGACGGTTTTCACGCCTATGTATACAAATCATCTGGCTGCAAAACACGAATTTGGCAACATGTACCGGGTCACTTCCCTTAAGAGCATGTGATCACTGTGGCCTGCTATCGCGGTCGATCGTTGGGCATTAATAATTGTATATGTGCTGCCGACTGGACGTGTTCAGTGCACTCTGTCCACTGACCAAGCCATTTTAATAACGGGAGCGATACCAATACGACTGCCCTCAAAATATGTTTACGCCAGTTATTAAAAAATAGCGGAGCAGTTATTAAAAGCAGTTATTTTGTCCGTTCGCTCGCTTTGTACGTTTCCGTTATGCGTCAGGCGTAGATCTCGGGATTTACCGCGAGTTACTTTATTCCTATATGGACCAGCATTGGTCAACAATGGTTTATGTATTCCGATTTGCACCACCACTGTTCAATAAACAAATCGTGAGAGGAAAATCGCAACGTCTTGCCGCTTTTTCGATTTATGTCTGTAATCACGAAAAATTTTTGATTGAATTAGACTAGAGTAGTCCGAAAACTGCAGATAGTTTATCGATTTACCGTTGAACACCACTCTAATAACAATTATATTTAACTACACAGACAGCAAGCATTATGTCTTGAACTTCGTCCGTAATAAGTGGAGTAAGTAGTGCCACTGTTTATAGAAGAATCCGTAACTGGTGTGTTACACTTTTAGTACAGAAACATGATGCGGTTGAATTAAGTCAATGGAAAGTTGTAACAGAATGTATATCACTGGTTTGCAGCGTACTTTGCGATTGATACTTGACAATATGCTTGCCCATCGTTGCCGGTTTCCTGGTTTTGAACTTGCATCTTGTACAGTATAGAAAAACCCCGGTGGCAAAAAGCTCTGCGTGCTGCTTCTCTGCCAAATGTAATAGGAATGCATCCTCTTCTTCGCAAGATAAGCGACAAATATGACACTGATATCTTGCGCGAACACTACTCGTGGTCGCATTTTCTGGCGAAAGTAACAACATCTCGGAATTCGCTTCCCTGAAGCGGCTCAGCGAAGTACTGGAAGTTGGATGCACGGAAATTTCGCTGGAGGGAAATTGTATTGTGTCAGTTTCCACATCTATGCCGGCTTCTGAAATATGCTCGGACGGATGATATGGCTGTTGGAGGCCCTCACTTGACATGCACTCAGGTCGAGGCGATACGATCGGGTCCGTAATAGTTGAATCTTCGACTGCATCCGACTGCTGCTGCTCGGTATCGAAAGCATCTTCCTCTTCGAACGGGGAGAATGTGAATACCGGGGTAACGCATGATTCAGTGTCACGAATTGCAGTCGAAGGTTGAGCCTACGCATATACAGGAAGCATCTTTTAAATAAAGGTATAAATTATGACTTACAATTTTGTAAGGCTTAACCGGGTTAAGAAATGTGCAGCACAGAACACCGCGAAACCAACAGTTTATCTTGACACACTATATTTTGCTAAAGGAAGAAAGCCTTACCCGCTAAATTATATACTTAACGATACATCGCTGTGTAACAGTACAGATACGAATCTCAATCACCATCAGGAAACAAACAAAGACATAGTTTGGCACCTTGCGCAACCTTACATTACTAAGCTGGTCGATTGGGTTTGCTTCTTCGTAGTTGTTGTCCTGCCCTTCGTCAACTCTACTGTCATCTTGCATGGATGCGGTGTCGGACAGGAAGCAAACAGCAAGATGCTGTTTCATTGCTTCAGACGAAGATCCCTGTTGGCAGAGTTTCAAACTGATGGACTGCATTTCTAGATTTTGACTGATTTCCCTGTTCGCCATCTCCTGTGATTGTGGAGCGGTGTTGTCAGCGGATACTCCCGTCATAAGGGTAGCTGTATTCGCAAACTCTCCCGGTTCAGTGCTTGTGCCAGACGAAATATTTTCCGGTACTTCCGTTGCCACGTGATCATCCTCAGGCATAGCGTTCTGTTGGTAATATCGCATGCCGAAATAATCATCGAGCGAAAGCCAACGATTATTCGCACACACGGAAGCCGTAGTTTCTGTAAAGTAATCGTTCGTTGTATAAAATTCAATTATTTAATTGTAGGCACATGCGGAGATCGCAGTTTAAAATGGTTACATCAAGGCTGATTTTGATCGGCAGCTGGAAGTACTGTGCAATTTACGTCATTACTGTAAGAACGTGTTCACTATTCACAAACGTGGCTCACCGTCTGTGAGCCATTCACGTTTATGAATCGTGAATGGCTCCTGCGACGTACATGCGCCCGCACTACAAAATAAATGAACAAGTGCAGGGTAACAGTACAGTACAAGAAATGACGTCGGCTTCGCCTCCGCATTTCTTGTGGTCCTCAGTGGATCTGTATAGGTATACCGTATACGTGGTAGCAGATAGCAGATAGCAGATAGCAGTGGTAGATAGCAGATAGCAGTGGTAGTTTGGTCACTCATTCACCTAACGGGAAGTGTGCACTAGATAGCAGTGGTATTTTGGTCACTCATTCACCCAACGGGAAGTGTGCACTAGGTAGCAGTGGTAGTTTGGTCACTCATTCACCCAACGGGAAGTGTGCACTAGGTAGCGGTGGTAGTTTGGTCACTCATTCAGTGTAATTACGAGTATCTTGTGTGTTTGGTCAGTGAAATGAGTACTAATTACCTCGTAGTGATCCGTACTATATTTTGCACAATTGCATTAATTTTCACGATTTGAATGCCTGTCTGGGTACATGATGCAGATTTTTGTCAGCGATTTTCTGATTGAAAGACTTCTGATCAGCGTAATATTTTCGACGTTTCCCCGAAATGGTTAACAGTAAGGTGGAAATGTTTTACGTTTTACGCATTTTCTTACGTTCGACAATTAGAAAGGGGTAATCAATATTCAATCCCATAAGACCCAATTAATCCCTTATGGGATTAACCGAATATTTGTCTTCTTTGAGGTCACTTATTTTCAAACCTAATATTTTTAACGTAGCAACAGTAATTTCGTAAGTATAAACATAGTATTCTTAAGTATGGATGAACTTTAGCTTTACATGGCAGACCCGGCTTTTGGAGGTGATTTGTTTGGTCGCTTGAATGCATTTTCGAAAAAAACGAACACCCTCTGGCCGCGTTTTAGAACATGGGCTTTCCGATGATAGCAGTGGTTTTTGTTAATTCGGTCTGGGATTCTGGCATTGGTGTATGCAATTTTTTCTGTTCGTGGTAATAAAGATCTAGAACTAGATACACACCTTTCTGGCTCTCAATGACGCGGCAGTCGTCACTGCTTCTGATTTCCTCAGTTCCTGCTGTTCCGTTTTCAGAGTGTGGAGAGTGGACCTCGACAGCGCAGTTGTCATTTGGTAATGAATCTGCGTCACCAGTCCTTGTTTGACCGCTGATTGAATCCTCCTTCTCTGAAGTTACATACGACTGTTGTCGATCTTCAGATGGCATCCCCTCAGGTTCGGGCAGAGTTGGGAACGGCCCCGTAGTGATGTGATCAACAGCTGCTTCTGGTGTCCGCTGCTCGATATTACCGACGCCTTCCAACCGACATAGCGTAGCTACCGGAGTTACGCATGTGTCGTCCTCAACTATTGCAGTGGAAGGTTGAGCCTATAAACATGGGAATATTTTAAAACAAAGGTAAGACTGCCATACTATTTCGTGTGGCCCCCCATTCTTAGCAGGCAATGGGGCAGCCCATTACAGCTGAATAAACATCTTCACTGTGTTTTTTTTCCTGGTTAAAGATATTAATTTTCCAGCCTTACTGGGACAAACAAGCCAGCAAATAACCGGCACACTGCAAAGAACTTACACGAGGCAGCTGAAAAATCGCCGGTGATTCTTTGTTGTGGAAATCCCGCTCAACAGCGTCGCTACTGACAGCGCGCAAAGGGGTGTGTTTTGACTGGAGGCCGACATCAATGTGCTGCATTGCTGATGCACAGGAGTATCCCTGTATGTGCAGTTGCGAAACAACGGGCTGCTGCGCGAGGTAGTGGCTGTCGTCCCAGTTCGTCTCAATTGGGAGCGTTTGTGTGATCGGGATTGGCAAAGCCGGTGACGTATTAGCGGTCGATTCGACAGACGGTTCGTTGTCCGTTACGTTATGCTGACGCTTTGGAGCGCTACTGGCTTCGCTATAGTACGGTTGCGGCCGCTGGATATCCACTGTGCTGACGCTCAGGATTTGGTGGCTGTGCACAGCAGTAACTATAACAGGAAGAAAAGTATTAGGCAAAGGCGAGTAGCCTATTGAAATAAACCACGGCTGAGAATTAAATATGAGGCGAAACACCACTACTGAATGTATACAGAAAATATATGTTCTAGTAAAATAACAAGTAAAAATTGCAGAATTTTGCAAGCTACACCTTTATGAGATCGAATTCATAAATTTGCATACCATGCTGATGAAAAATAAATCGCTCTGCTTACCCCAACAGGCAACAGAGAATTCTTATCATAACTAATGGTAAGCAGAACAGAGTGGCCTCTGCGCTACAATAGCCTTCGGATATTCACACGAATATGCTTCCCCACAAGTTAGTTGGAAGCAGCACGGTGTAGCAGTGTAATCTAATCAATGCTTTTATACTTCACCAAGTGTTTCTTTGTGTACTATGCAGGCGCAGACATGGCCCATAATAACAAAACATATGATACCGCCCTGGCTGCCCGCGTTTTCATTTATTTCACGAGGTTCCGGTGTCTTATTTCGCTCACTGCAAGACACCGGTGGACGTAATTTGTGTGAGGCGCATAGGGCATGCTCAACAATAGAGCCTCCGTTTGCGGGCACGTTTCGCCGTTACACCCTGGATCTTGTCTGTATTGGTTAGGTTATATTTTCCCCCGGAAAAATCTTCATAGGAATCGCGTTGCTGCTCGCCATGACTGCTGACTTCAGGAAAATTATGGGGTATTACTAAAGTCTGTAACTGTGACTGGATGGGACCGACTGCAAGTAATTGTGACCGCTTGCGACTGTCCACACAGGGTCTGGGATTGATTGGGAGTGCGACCATTTGGGACTAGGCCTATTAGCTCTTCCGTTCCGCCAGTCGACTGATGGGGCCTTTCCGGTCAATTTTTTAACTGGCTTCTTGTTCTAAAAGGCAGTACTATGCATGCTTTTCTGTCAGTAGAACAAAATCACCTCGGTTAAATTATGGCTGTCTGTGTTTGCAAATTGAACCAAAAAATTCGCGAAATAAGAAGTAATTTGTGTAGGCATGCGTCCAGTCAACCACCAGTTCGTTAGTAAATCGCAGCCAACTGATAATTATTTAAATGTTTTGTGAGCCAATGCCAACCGCTCCGCATTTAGCCGGAAAATATTAAGAAAAGGTCAAAGGGTTTGCGTTTTTGCCGAGAAAATTCATACTGGCAATACTTTTTCGTAACAATCAGGTGGCGATCGTTAAGCCTTGCCGCTACAGTTAATCGGGCGCTGCAACCCGTTTTGCGGGCATATTGGAAGGAATTCGCCCTATCTCTGCTTCCCTGAGCCTTTTGGCCTTTGTGGTGGACACAGACATATTCAACGAATTCATATTGCAAGACCGAAAATTGTGGATTGTCGGCATCTAGCATCTTCGATCGATCAATAGCGAACGTTTGAAAGGTGCTCTTTTGGTACTCTTTAAAGCTTTCATCAAACATTTGCCAGGAGTTGAACTGATCCGGCAGTTTTGCACTGTTTGACACAACTGAGCCTCCACTACTGATACGCATCAGACCTTCCTCGTGATCGGAGGAGAGAGACGATTGTTCCATGGACTCTAAAATGTAGGATTAATTGTAATAAGTGCGTGAAGATGCTTCAATTGAACGAACTGTTTCCGAACGAGCGCTTATACGTTCAGAACCTGCGCTGGGGTTTAACCGCAGTGGACGTGGTTCTGCTGCGCCTTATTTAATGAATAAAATGCTCGTTTTTCTAAACCGCGCACCGACCGGGCAGTTGCAACACATTTTTGTCCAACGGTACTGTAGTTGAGCGAGCACGTTATTAACTACATGGTTTAGAAAATTTATGTGCGCTTTATACCATGTAAACTGTCAAGATTCGTCTCTATATTTTTGGTCTTAGGCCGAAAATAGTTGTGGTAGCGATAAGGTGGTGATCACAGCGCGGTGTAAAACAATATTTGAAAAGAATCATGCAAATATAGGTATATGTTATGCAAAGCTCATGTTATATGCGTAGCCGGGAAGTATGGATTTGTTGACGGTTAAAAGCTTAACGAAGTGCCGGTGACAGTTGCAAATGTTAAAATTTTTGACCAGTGACATTTTCTACCAGCGTCAATACCTTGCGCTTCTGCATGAATAATTCACGCAATGCTTAGTTTCATATTTTGGGATTACCTATATAACGGCAGCCCGTTTATATATCACGTACCAGTTTGACTTTCCTCAGAATCCGAGCTCATTATTGCTTGAGATGTGTACTTCGGTAACTTTCTAACATCTTCGTCTTCACTGATTTCACCAGGTATTTGTGCATTAATCTTTGCTGTGATTCTTTGGTCATGGGCAGACGAAGAGCTGTTGTAGTAGCCAAAATAACAAGCAGGTTTGCGTTGACTGCCTGGATCACCACGTTGCATGGCCTTGAGTCGAGCTGACCTTCGACATCCTTGCTGTGTAATATTGGGGCTGTCTTCACTGGCTGTCAGTGTGTCAATGACGTGCTCTCCCTGGACATCACCATGTCGCATGTCCTTCGATGAAACCGACATTCGACTTCCTTGTTCTATATTATTGTGGCTGTCCTCACTTGCTGGCGGTTTCTGAACGACCTGCTTTCCTTCGACATCAGGAAGTCGCATAATCTTCGATCGAAGCTGCATTCGACATACTAGCCTTGTATTTTTGTGGCTATCCTCACTTGCTGGCTGTGTCTGAACCTGCTCTCCCTCGACATCACCATCGCCATGTATCCTGTTCTTCAATCTAACCGACCTTCGACATCCTTGTACTGCATCGCTGAGGCGGTTCTCACTGGCTGGCGGTGTCTGAACGACTTGCTCTTCCTCGACATCATCGGATTCCAGTGCGGGATCATTCTTTGTGTTGCTCAGCGGACCCGCACTCGATGTGGTCGGTTCTTGGCTGAGCGTCTCTAACTGCTTTAGTCTGAACCAGCTTATTTTAAGCTGCTGCCTTATAATATTCCCTGACATTCCCTCTCCCCGCAGTTTCAGGACAGCTGTGCGCTGCGCCTGATATTTTTGTCGGCATCGTTCCCGATAGCTCCTCATCCTGTCATTTTCAATTACAGCAGCTACGGTATCAGCTGTTTCGTTAACTTCGCACACGATCTGCGCTCTTGAGTAGCCGCGATGGAACAAATCGAGGATGGTTTTCCTTTGCTCTTCGGTCAGTTCGGCCAAGCGTTGCATTCGTTTCACGGTCGACCTACACATATTGAACTGCCTTGCAATTTGGGCAATGTTATATTTTGCTTTATCTGCTTGCTGCAGGATTTCCTTCTTCTCGTCATCAGTCCACTTCTTTTGCAGGGAACAATTCTCTCTAGTCAGGATATTTTTCAGTTTCATCAAACCGATACCCACGCGTTCCGCGATATCCTTCCGAGGGTATCCAGCTTTGCGCAGTTTGCAGATTAGCCGTCGGTTTTTCTGATCGATTCGTCCGTTGTTTGGTGGTTTTTGTGTTTCGGCGTGGCTATCGGCGTCTTTTCTCCGCGCTTTTTGAAGTTCTGCATCAAGATTTTTCGCCCCAGTTCTTCCTTAAAATCGACGCGATCTACTTCCGTTGCAAGCATTTGATTTATAAACACAGACTTACTGGCTCTAGTGTTGGTAGCCATATCGATACCAATGATAGGTGTATGCTTAATCTTTTCTGTTTGGTCGGGTCGGTTCCGCAGTTGATTCACAATGACAATGGCTGGCAGTTATGGTTCTATAACTTCCACGGCTTCTGCCACTTGCTACAGATTTAGGCGCTGGTTTCGGTCACATTCCGAAAACCACCTGCAGTAGGGTAACATCTACTTGCAAGTCGTGCAACAAGTTTACTTCGTCTTTTGTGATCTACTCGTAAGTTAAATGAAACGATGAATTCTGGTTTAACTATTAACGAAACTTGCCGAGCGACATTCCAGAAAATAAAGAAGGAATTACAAAATCTTTTCGGTTTCATGCAAATAACTAAAGTACAAGAAGTTACGTCGGCTGAGCCTCCGCATTCTGCGCCCCTTTAATATTCCAGTACAAGAAGCATTAAACATCCCCACGCCCCTTTTTTTGTGACGCATATATATTCCATTTTGGATTTCTTATCCACCCAAACCTTACACATGTACATACGCATGTACATGTACTCATGTACATGTACATAAGAATACTTATGTACATGTACTCGTATTTTCTAACTCAAGCTGCGGGAATACTCAAAATAAATTTCGTTCAACCGTAAAACGGCAGCAATAAGCGAACTGGCAAACACTCACAGATTCATAAAGCAAAGGCAGCTCGCGGTAAAATGAAATTTTATTTATGATAATGCTTAATGCACTGCCCTAAACTGATTACTATAATATGTTTTCTTTCTTACCTAACAATTTAACTTCTGCTTCTGAACAATTTGGCTCTTTCGTAAGAAAATTAAAAAAGTTTTCTATTTTTGCAACATTTCTTTATTTGTACTAGAAGAGATCGTTCTTTAGGTACGACTAAGCGAAAATGACACCGTTCAGTTTTTTTGGATCTTTATTGTGGCCATCGCGCAATGTAGTACACCCTTTCTGCCATTGTTGAAAATACTTAAATGTCCTTCTTCAAATTTAAATGAGGCAGGATATGTTCTGGTATAGCACCAAATTCGTGAACATCCACGGGACTTTTCGCTGTCGAGTACGTTTTTGTATCGCTTTTTGATATTTTGAAGCCAAAGGATTTTTACACATTAGCGTGAAAACCGTTTGCGCGCGCAACATCCGGTTGGAAAGTTACGGGTAAATCGAATTCCAAAACGTCTAAACGCATTCAAAATGTACTAAAAATCTTATTATATTATAAACCGTTTCTTAAAATTTTGAGGTAAATGCACATTTATATGAAGATCGCTGTTACACCAAACCAAAGGTGCACCATTTTTTCCGAACTGTAAAATGAATTTTAAGAAATTTTGAATTACGGTATTTGAAAATCTGAAAAAATGGTACGACTCTGGTGCGATCTTCATGTGTATGTTTACGTGCAAACTTTGAAGAAGATTTATAACGGGACTTTGGGTAGACCTGAATGACTTTCTGGAATTTCAAATTTCAGTTCTCCCATAATTTCTAGGTTGCGCGCGAAAATGGATTTCTAGCCTAATATGTATATACGAATCTTTTGGCAACAAAATGTTGAAAAGCAACGCATAAAAGTTTCTGGGAGTGCGCGACAGCGAAAGTTCCCGTGGATGTACAGGGATTTTGTGCTACGTACCTGGCCGGATCCCTTAAGATTTCTCGAAGTTTTACAGCTGGAAAAAAGCCATTCAGTAATTAGACAAATTAAAATATGCAGCACCCGCAAAATAGCACCCTAATATTTTGCGTTCATCGGTATGAACATTCCCATTTGTTTGTTGTTGTTCGATTTTCGTTAGCTGTTCAAACAAAATTTGAGGCACAAAAACACAGCAGAAGAATTTTTTGAGCATTATTTTCGCTTATCCAAAGGGTTTACTAAGATGCGAAGCCCTTACCCCAGTCACATGGAGGCGTCAGAGTACCCTGACTTATGCAGTTTCCATTACTTTAGCCCCAAATTTTGAACGAATAATGATATCATTGATATGTAGACGGGCTTTTGCCGAAAAATTAAGTAGCAGTTTGATTTTGTTAAAAATCTTGCGCTCAGCGCTGCCATCAACTGATGGAAATCTTGGTGGGAGAAAAAAAATTTTCAGTGGTACATACCGTTTTGAAGCGACGCACGCACGCGTTCTGATCGTGTTATTTTACCCGTCATACCAAACTCTCAGGCTCTCTTTTTGCCAATCAAACATATGTGAACAAAAAAGATTATCATCCTGTAAATCAAATTCACTGTGAACTTAAAATGCGATTAATTCCGGAGAAAATTATGTGCAGATGCGTTGGATGTTGCTAATACATGGGGAAATCAGTTGCACACTTTTCACGTCATAACGGAACAGGGGTTTTTCAAAGCACTACATGTGTAAGTACCTGCACACTGAGGCAAGTCATTGCCGACGATTTGCCGTCACTCAAGGTGTACGAGAGGATGAAAGAACGTTCCACGTTAAGAGAGGAATGTGCATTCATACCTCTCGTACAGTCGCACTTCTACCAGTAGAGCACAGATCCAATGCATGTAGCGTATCCACTTACAGTACTCGCGTACCGCACATGTACTGTGTAAAGGTGCAGTGATAATCAATAAGTGCTGTGTAGTTACAAATTAATTTGAAATCAATAACTGTGAGCTGGATCTGCCGGCGTTTTTACACCGAAAATTCGACCGGCGTTTTGACCACACAAAATTCTGCCGGCAGGAAATTCGCCGGCGTTTTGACATTGGCCGGTAGGGCCAGTCTGTAATTTTTTACAATTCTATGCGAACTTCACATCATGTATTACATATTATTGATATTATTTTACTTATTGTTACCCATTGTACAATACTCGTTGGCCGTATTATGAAAATCAATTAATTAAAGATTCGCACGATCCATGAACCTTCTTCATTAGTGCAGAGGTATAAATGTAGCGCTTTAAGATCCGCTGTTCTGCTTTTACGTGCAGGTCCATACGGGTGACTAAAGCAGCAGTACAGGGTGGATCTGTAGTGAGCAACTGATTCCCTCTTACTCTGGGTTGCGCTTGAGAGGTAATTAAATCATAAAAATGCCCAGTGCAGAATATGGGTGATGTTGCACCCATGTGCGACCGGCAACGCATTGTCAGAAGACAGTTTGAGCAAGTTGCGGCTAATGCGGCGCAACAAAAAACATATTAAACGTTTGTCCTATTTATTCCTTCACCTTCGCGGTTAGGTACAGCTGTGCAGGTATGAACGGAAGTCAAAGAAATGCTAAACAAAATTACAAAAAAAGCTTGTAGGTTTATCTGTATGAAAATATCATCGAAGATCGTTTTGTATTTTTAAACGTTGTCAGTTTTCAAAAGAAATTTTTCTGAACTTATTTACTGATTTTCGAAAAAGTGGTGTAGTATATGGCGCTGAATTCCTTGTTTCAACTACGCGGGTGGTTGCATTTTATATCCAAGGGGAAATCGATTTTTCACTAACCGTGGCACAGTTGGTTAATTAGAGCGTGAGAGATCTTTGTGCATGCATTTGCGGGATTTTCAGCTGTAGTCTGTAGATATCGTATTCGATTGGCTTACCTGTTAAGCGCACAGAAATATACGAAATGCGAGAATATTAATGGCAGTCGGCAGAGTGCGTACAGTGTTGCATTTTGGTTCTGTGATATGGAACTTGTAAGTGAACTGATGGCGTTTTTCAGACAAATATCGCTGAGACACTGAGACTATATCAAAATTTAATTATTTTTAAAAGAATCTGACTACGCCGCGAATGTATGCAGGGACTAAAGCTAAGTGAGCGCGCTAAGAAAAGATAACGAGCGCATGTACAATACGTGCCGTTGTACGAAGATTCGCGCAATACCTTCAGAAAACTGCCCTTGTTGTGTGTCGAGTCATACTTTTTACAGATTGATTACTTTTGTCGGTTCTGAATTTTAAAATGTTTTGTCTGCTTTATCACATATTAGTCCGGTTCAAAATAGACCGGAAATTTAGTAAATCCTGGCAATTGTGATAATTCTCCGAAAGCTGAGTAACGCACGAGATAAGATAAGCGCTCATAACTGGTCCATATTGCGATGAGGTGTCTTTTGCACGTTTGTACCCACGCCCCATATATTCGTAAATGTTGCTCTAGAAAAAGCTACTCGAGAGTAGAATATTCGAGCGTCAAAGTCGCCAATTTAGCTATTTCTCATGCAAACTCATGTGCACACATATTTTAATGCTTACATTTCACTGCGATATGCCGTAATCGTACACCTCCATTAATAAGTACTCTAACGCCTATCGGGTATCGTCGACACTGCTACGTGCCCAATCTGAATAATTAATTATTAATTAATAACATTATAATTAGTGTTAATTGGCCATCCAAACACATTCTGGTAGCGTAAACCAGACAGTACGCGTAGGGCGCATAAGTTTTTAACATAACTTATAAGTTACCACGACGTGTTAAAATGTCTAATTATAATTAATTAATTAATAACGGGTTCATTAGAATTAAAAATTTTGCGGATAAATAGTGTACAGAGTATTGATTAATTCGCTGACCGGCTGGCGTTTATTAACTTGCAACTAGTAGCGTCAATTAACTGTTTTAAATTAATCGTTAATTATAGGAACTTTTTTAATTTTTTAAATAATCTGAAGCACTGAATTCTGTAGGCAATACATATATACTCATACCCATTACATAGATATAGGCAGCAGTAAGGTGCAAACTGCAAAGTAAAGTTACAGACTGGAATGAAAACACACTATAAAGCAAAATGTCGCACGTTTTTGCGCTCCCAAAATTGCCCGCTCGGTGCAGATATCTGATGCATCATTGCCGTGCAATTATTTGATGTTTGTTAAGGTTTAAAGTTCGATTTTTTTAAGCGTGTGTCACAGATTTCCTTCGCTGAAATCTTCATAACTGAATTCTGAGCCTAACTATTATTTTGATCGTTAGATCGGCTTTCAGAATTTTCTTTCGTTGCTGGGCTAAGGTAGGCTTCGGTTTTACGATTTTCATCGAACACCGGCCGGTCCTAATTCTTGTATTACTTACCTTAATTGCATATGACCTGGCCAAGGTGGATAGGTAATTCCAAGGTGGATAGTGGATTCTACCCCTATACACCTTGACCTGGCTTTCCTACAACAACTAAAAAAATGAAAAAAAAAAGAATAACATGGATCGAGTGCATGTACTGGATGTTTTTGATAACTTTTCGGACAGTTTTTTAGCCATTTTTAGTCATATCCACAACAGGGGGTGCGAGCAATAAGTAATCAAAAAGCGAAAAAGGGGTGCCTAAAGTAAAAAAGGGTTCATAAGAGGGTACACATAGTAATCGGGGCGGCAGGGGTGCCTATAGTCATTGGTTTCTTTCCATACATATGTAAACCACCGGAAGTCGTCTTATCAGATTAAATATAACTATTTCCTCTAAATCCACAGGATATGACATATTACGTTTCACAAAAAACCGAAACCTAATTTACCCGAAAACGTGCGCGGCAAAGCTTAGAACAGATTGGAATATCCATAACGTTTTTACGTGAAATCAAGTTAACGTTGAGATAATGGCAATTGAATAAACCGGAATTATTTTGTGCTTTTTATTTTATCATTTGACATGTATAAATTCAAAATAAAAGTATTCGGTGTTCAGTAAATAAATTCAGTATTCAATATTCATCCAGTATAAAAATAAAATGCACGGCAACAAATTGGATTCATGACATGATAATTTATAGCATTTATGGCAATATATGCGTAAAAATGCTTAAATTGTAATCATTTATGACAAGATGCGTGAAACCGCTTAAAAATTACTCGTCATTCCTCGACGTTTGCAATCCGTTCGTTCCGACTGATTAGATTTAGAAGGTATTTGACGGTGTTTGTAGATATGGTATAAAATGTTACAGTTTTCGATGGTATCCTGACTTGCGGGTAACTGGATGAATATTCGTCCAAGTTACCCAACTGAATATTAACGCCGTCTGTGATTCATTTACTCGTACATTGTTATCATAATGGGAAGTGATGGGGTGTTTTTAACAATAAAAAGCAGTTGTTACGTTGCCGAAAGTAATTGGTTCTGGGAGGTTTTGGGTTCTCACCCTCCCGCCCAAGCGGGTTTAATTCGCCTATGGTATTATGCCATCGGTTATTATTTTACGGATATCTTTATGAAGCGTAAATAATTAGTCAGATTGTACAACATCAACATGCATCTTTTTTGCCGGTGAATCGCGATAATGGCTGTTGCTAAACTGACCCCGATGCTTGGTATTGGGTAGCGGCTCTTACCGGTGACTTTGCCAGTTCAGACTGTGAAACTCATCGTAAAGCTAGAGTAGTATCGAAAGTAACTGGTATATCTGCACATATTCCGATTTTTTTACTGGAGTATCGGAACGTGCAGTGCAATACCGGTTTTGAAATATTTTGCATTTTATTAAACCAAATAAGAAAGTGAAATCCTTACGCTCTGTCCAAAAAGACCAAACATACCGGAAGTGGCTAGCATCACCAGTGTTTAAACTTCTTTGCCAGTAACTTAAAAAAAGACGGAAAAATTGTCAAAAATATCGTTACATACAGTATGGCAGAAACACTGCCCTGGAAAAAAATCGCGGAAAAAAAGCTTTCCCTAGTACATACCACATTCAATGGATACCCGCTACGGTGGTCTTTTCGTACCACTTTGCCCGTCCCAAGAAATATATCCAGCTATTTTACTTTTTGACAATCGACATAGGAGAGCTGATAATGCAAATCCGAGGCATGGTGAACTTCGGCTGTGATGGGTACCGCCGGTATAGTCCGGGCTTCAGTTGCATCCACGAGCTTACGGCTAGGTGGCAAAATGCTGATTATTTCGTTAAATCTGCGCAGCATTATTGTCCACACCTGGCGAATTTCCAAGGCATCATCAAAAAGCACCGTACCATGCGGACACATGACAGGGAGAACGGTTTAAAGAATCCCCAGTGACAATCCATCGGCCAGCACTATCTCCAAATTCCATCAAATCTTGTTATTGCGCTTTCCATGGTAACGTGTAATCGTGTATACTGTACTAAAGCCAGCTCATAAAGCGACCGACAGGCGTCGTTAAGATAGCCACGGTGGTGTGGCGTGCCGTAGTATGTTAAATAGCTCAAGCCCGTGGCTACTGAATTTGCTCGCCTTAAGCGGTCAGTCGGTTTGTGGACGGGCTTGTATTTACGGAAGTCAAAACGTGCTACTCTGTAGCATCCTGCACGAGTCGGACACGCGCACCCAAATACGGCCGGCAGTATTTTGTTAGATGACAATTTGAAAAGGATGATCGTAAATTTTTTGCAAATGCATCCTCTTTGTCTCGGTAAAT